CCCCCCGCCGCCGCCGCACAGTTAGGGCAGGCGCTTGGGGGAAGGGGCCGGAGCCTCTGGGACAAGATCCAGGGCGGCTTCCCCTGCTTGGCCGCTTTCCCGCCGGTGGGGGGCTCTCAAGGAAGCAGCGGCCAAGAGCCACCCTCCTGGGGCCGCATCGCAGGCCGGACCGCTGTCCTGTGTTTCCCTCTTCTTTTCCGGCTCCCTCCTTAAGATTTTCCGGTCCGCCAGGCCCTGACGGAGTGTCTTATCAGCATTCAGGGGCCGGACTTTGTCAGTCCTGGTGGCTGCGGACACCACCGCAGTCCATGTGAAGTCCGACCAGGACAAGATGTGTTCAAGATGAGTGAGAAAATCTTGTTCCTCTGTGTTGGGGAGGCTGGTGGTGACACGGTCCAGTTTGCAGAATACGTCCAGAAAAATGTCCACCTCTACAAGATGAGGAATGGGTATGAGTTGCCTCCAACTGCGCCTCTTTGGCCAGAGCTCCCTTTGCAGCCCGCGGTTATGGAGCCTTCCCAACGCCCCACACCCTTGACCCCTACGATAAACCAAGTGTCGCAGGTGCAGAGGCAACAGAGATTCCCAAGAAACGTCTCCAGGCGCTCCAGCAGCGCTTCGTTCTGACCTTGCCTTCTTTCAGTGCCCGTTTCATTGACAAAGACGGCATCCATGAAGTGGACAACACACCGCTCCTGAAAGCAGCGGCAGCCTGAATATCCCGACCCAGTGCCCTCTTTCTGCCTCGGCTTGGCTTTTTTGTACTCTGTTTGAAATCCAGTGACCCTGACTGCACTTTGCAAGTGCAAATAAAAAAGACTGACTCTTTAAAGTCACCCTCCTGTCTGAGGCCACACCAAGGAATCACAGCAAGGAGGAAAGACCTGAGCAACTGGCACACCTCCCCCACCGCACAGCCACAGGGCAGGGCCCCAGATGGACGCCAGACTACCAAGGAGCGTTTAGGGGTGGGCGGGTGGGTGGCGGTGAGGTATGCGCAGGGTGCAGCCCCTCACAGAGGCCGCCTCCCCCCCCCCAAGGCCCTGGCGCAAACAGAGAATACATTTGCAAGTTTCCACCTCGTTAAAATAAGGTTTAATACACCAAGTCACAGGCAAATAAAAACCCCGCCCCACGGTTGGCATGGATTTGGCCTCCGAAACGAAGACTGAAACACTCCCCCCGCTGCTCCCCCCTCACCCGCTTTCAAGCTCTTCTGCACTTGCCCCACAAAGCCAGCAAAGGGGGGGGGGCTCTGAGGAAGAACCCAGAGGGATGGTGACTGGCGGCTCGGCAGGGGGCAGGGGACACCTCCCCCCCCCACCTCATGCTGAAGCCTCCAGTGCCCCTGCACACCACAACCCCCCCCCCGCCCAGTCATGGCAGAGGGCAGGGGGACGGCGCACGTGTGCCTTTCCTTTCCCTGACTCACTCACTGAAGCCAGGGCGCTGGAGAGAGGTCTCACAGAGCTCCTCCTCCTCCTCCGGCGGGGTGAAGCGGGACAAGACTGGCGAGCTTGTGGCAAGACATGCACGGGCCCCCCTCCTCAAGACCCAGCCCCCACAGGACAGTGCAGCAGCAGCAGTGGCTGGCACAGACCCCCCCTCCCACAAGAGGACCCCCCACCCGAACCCGCGGCAGGTCCCCGTTGTCCAGCTTCGGGAGGGAAACCCCCCCCCCCCGCCCCCAGCAGAGGGGGCTCAGCAGCCGGCCCTCGAAGAGGCACCCACCGGCTCAGCTCCCTGGGCCACTCCTGCCTGCGCACCTGGCCTCCCATGCGCCCGCCTGCCGGGATGCACCCAGAGACAGCATGTCCCACAGCACAGCTGCGGCCCCCCAGCCCCACTCCCGGCTACGTGCAGAGTGGCAGGCAGCCCCGGCGCACAACTGTCCCAGTCCAGAGAGTCGCCGGTGAAACTCCTCCTGTTCCCAGAAGCCTCCGGCTCCCGCAGAGCTGTGCCCCTCTCAACACCAGGGGTCCCGGGAGGCCCGGCCACGGCACAAGCTGTCGCTGCGCTGCCACGTGCTGCGGATCAGGCTCAGAGCATCCTCGCATTTCTTCCGGATGCCAACGTCCTCGATGGTCTTGTGCAAAAGGTCGACCTGCCAACACCAAGCGGGAGGCGCCCATGAAGGACCACGTTTGGGTCCCGCCAGAGGAGCGGGAGAGCCCCCCCACCCGGGTCGAGCGGCTTACCTGGTAGGTGCTTCTCCAGACGGCGTCCAGGGCTGACAGGAAGCGCTCCCGCTCTGCCGGGCAGCTGAAGTAGAGGACCCAGGGGGGCAGGAACTGCTGGCAGTCCTGGGCAAACTCCTGAGGGCAGCGGGGGGGGGGGGGGGGGGCTGGGG